AGGTAGTTTTCCGTCTGTATCAAAACGGATTTTGAAGGTCAGTTTGTAGTTTCAGATATGAATGAAATATTGAGTTCCCCTCGCGAATTTTTGTATCATAATGTTGCCGTTATATAAAATTGACTAATATCCAGATATAAGCAGGGAAACGTTCAAGTGAGGGGAATTTTAGGTAATTATCAAGATGCACCGTCACGAAAGATGCATAATTTATTATTATTATTTTTTTGGCTCCCAGTTGCCCGTTGTTTTGTCTCTTGGGAAACCAGGTCCTTAATTGCTTTTTTAATAGTTCCCCCGTAAACTCGAAGGACTGGACGACTGCTTATTTCGCGCAATATAAAAGTTTTGGGATAAAACCCATATTCGCTCGCCCCAGTGAAAGTCAATACAATTTACTGGGCTGAAAAAATCACAACTCCTTGCAAACCAAATAAAGATTAAGCAGAAGTTTCCTCTGTACCAAACTTGTGGGGCACACCTTAACTCGCACGCTCACAACTCATTTGTACTCGACAAATCCTTGTTAATTCTCTTCCAGTGTTACAACGCGTCCTATTTTCTGTGTTCTCTCGATAAAAACCTATTTCACAATCACTCATTTCTCCGATTGCAATGTTAACGAATCTCGTGATCCTAGCTGTCAACTTATGAAATTGTCACGCTGTCACGACACTTCCGTTTACCTCGCTTGCAGCTACCAAAAAACAAGATGGGAAAAATATCGTGCCTATAATATCTGCTTAATTGGTAGAAAGAAAAGAAAAAAAAAAAAAAAAAAAAAAAAAAAAGCGTGATGGGGTTGTAACTCTAAACGTTGTTCCTAGAAACCTGTGCCTAAAACCGGACTTATTTTAGTTTTCCAGGGAAGTTCAGGTACCATGTTCCAGGTTACCACGACCCTCGACTCATGCAGCGTCATCTTTCCATCAATTTTACACCAACTTTTGAACACTGATATTTGAAACAACGATTTTGTGACTAGTGAGTGTAAACCAAGAAGATGAGGGTGATTGTTGCTTGTTGATTTTTTCAGCTGAAAGTTTAACTGCTCAGATTTAACTTGTTCTCAGCATTAATGACACTTTCAATACCATTTTAAGTACAAGATCCAAGAACATGTGATGGGATTGTTATCTAAGCAATAGAGCACTTTTTTCCCGTGTCTACACAGCCTAATCTAAACAAGAAGGGGTTCGGAAAATTCGAGACAGTTATGTAAACCCAAGACGGAGTCGAGGGCTTGCATAACTTTCGAGAATTTTCCGAACCCTTGCGGTATTTAGATGAGGCTAGGTAAACACGGAAATAGTGCTCTATTGCTTTTGTAAAATGTTTCTGAAAAAAAGCTCGAATTTACAACGTTACATCCGTGTTTACGTACTCTCATCTAAACACACCTATCAACCAATGACAGCGCGCGTAGTATCTCATTTATTTTATAGAAGATAATCTTACCTAAGAAGAGAGTTTCTTTTAATGGCGTCTCCGCATTAGGCGCATCGTTTAACACATCATTATAAATGTACATTGTTGGACCGTCTGTTCCTTGAAAAGAAAACAGAAACACACAGGTTAGATGACTGTTTTAACCTAACCTAGGCCCAAGTCAAACGTCGAACTTCACGTGAGACGAACTAAACTGAGCGAATTAAGTTCATGATAAGTTCGACGATTGACTCAACTGAGTTCGTCCGTCTGAAGCAGACGGAAAAAATGTGTCACTCCATCTAAATTCGAATTAAGTTCGACGTTTGACCCAACGGTCGAGCTTTATCCGTTTGGACTCCGTTGGATCGACACACATTGTAATTTAGGTCGTCTCATGTGAAGTTCTACGTTTGACTTGGGCCATAACCATCGAGCTTGCAAAGATTTTAAAAACCTTCCGCCGGATGATCAGCGTGTCACACGCTTTGCAGCATAAAAAACAAAACAAAACAAAACAAAACAAAACAAAACAAAAAAAACAAGATAAAACAAACTTAGCAGGAAACTAAAAAGTGCTATGTTCGCTATTTCTTATGGCTAATGATAAGACGCCCCCCGGGTGGGGGACTCCAATTGAAAAACGAAGGGGGTGCTCGTCATTCCTTTTAGGGGCTAAAATAAGTGGTTTTGATGTGTCTTAGGGTGGTCAGCCTCAAAAGGCACACAACGGGACCTTTAGCGGTACCTTTTAGGGTATTGAGCCAAAAAAATATGACAGGAGATAAAGTGATATGTAAGAATTGGTGCCCCTCAGGGAAGAAAAAAATTTCAAGCCATACGACGCCCACAAAACAGGATCTTGGTACGTCTTGGTTTTTCTTTCTTCTTTTTTTTTCGAAATTTTTGACGAGCACCCCCGTCCTTTTATCTAGGAGTCCCTCCCTGCTGGGTTAGACGCCTGCTAGAGTTGTCCAGGCTAGAGAGCTACATGTAGCCTAAGGTCACCGTTACATGTTTGTTGCATGGCTCTAAGTCTTGCGACATCATTCGTAGAGTTAAAGGCAAATTTTGATCATATCCCACACAAGCCAACCTGTTTGGCATCCGTACAAAGCAAGGCGCATGCACCTCCATTTCCCATGACGGCTTTGGGGATGAATACGAATAAAATGAGTCCAGATGCCCTTCAGAGTTACGTTCTTGGCTCCCACGCCAGTATTTGCCTGAAGCTGTGGAGAAAAAAAAATGATATGACTATAACTAAACGGTAGATAGACTACTATTGGTGTTGTTGCTGTTGTTGCTGTTTTGTTATCATCTAAAGGAAACGATAAACATAAACATGATGAATAAGATCATACTTGATTGTGTAAAGAATGCAAGCTGAAGCTTTGTTTTGCTGAAATTTACCAGCGTCAGCTGTAACAGTATTCAACTGGCCTTCTCAAGCCCAATAATTCATCAAGTTTAAACAAACGAAATCATGGCCATGACGGTGTTTGGATAGATGATCTTAATCAGCATAGATTTTTTTGATTATATTTCTCTGTTTTCTCCTTAGTTTTAGTTTTGATTGACAAGACATATCAAACACTCTAGACAGTACAGTGTTTCATCGCTTTTCCAAACACCTCGAAGTTCGTCAAAAATACTCCGCTGCGCGTCGTATTTTCAACTGTCTTCTTGGTGTTTGGAAATGCAATGAAACACTGTCGGTCGTGTTTGATATATTATATAACAGTGTTATCTTCTAGCATGATAAATAGTTCAGGATAAAAAGTAGTGGTAATAAAACATGACGTTTCGGCGACGAAATGAAACCATTATCATTTGTAAATAGTTGTAAGTTCAATAACGTTATATGTTAATGCGAAACTACATTGGAATTTCAGTGAGATGGAGGAAAACAAAAAAATGTACATAATATTATTTTTTTATTTATCATTCCGTAAGTCCCATTCACCAGAAGGTGCCATGGACCAAGCAGAAGCAAAATGAT